CATTCACGAAATCACTTGTGCCAGATAGAATTCGATGAGATCTATCGATTGGTACCCATTACGCAACAATCCAAGCCAACATACAGGGGCCAAGCGGTCAGCACCTCAGAAACCAACTTACGCCGCCCTTAATCCGGGCAAATATTCGATTACATGGTTGTGCCACTCGTAAAATCAACCGTGCCAAATAGAACTCGATGAGATCTATCGATTGATGCCAAATAAGCGATGATCCAAATCAAGATGCAGGGTCCAAGTGGTCAGTACCTATGAGAACCAGGTCTCGGGACCGGTAATTCGAGCAAATATTTGCTTGGATGGTTGTGCCACTGGTGAAATCACCTGTGTCCTATAGCACTCGATGAGATCTATCGATTGGTACCCATTACGCGATGATCCAAGTCAACACACAGGGATAAAATGGTTAGTACCGATGAGAACCAGGTCTCGAGACCTTTAATCCGAGCAAATATTGGCTTAGATGGTTGTGCCATTCGTAAAATCAACTGTGTCAGATAGTATTCGATGATATCTATCGATTGATGCCATATAAGCCATGATCCAAGTCAATGTATAGGGCCCCAGCGGTCATACCTATAAGAACCAGATCTGAGGTCCCTTAATCCCATCAAATATTCGCTTAGATGGTTGTGCCACTGGTGAAATCACTTGTGCCAGATAGAGGTCGATGAGATGTGTCGATTGGTACCAATTACGCGATGATTCAAGTCAACATACAGGAACCAAGTGGTTAGTACTTGTGAGAACCAGGTCCCGGGACCGGTAATTCGAGCAAATATTCGCTCAGATGGTTGTGCCACTGGTGAAATCACCTGTGTCCTATAGAACTCGATGAGATCTATCGATTGATGCCAAATAAGCGATGATCCAAATCAAGATGCAGCGTCCAAGTGGTCAGTACCTATGAGAACCAGGTCTCGGGACCGGTAATTCGAGCAAATATTCGCTTACATGGTTGTGCCACTGGAGAAATCAGTTGTGCCAGATACAACTCGATCAGATCTATCGATTGATGCCAAATAAGCGATGATCCAAGTCAACGTGCAGGGACCAAGTGTTTAGTACCTATGAGAACCAGATCTCGGGACCCTTAATTCGGCCAAATGTTCGCTCAGATGGTTGTGCCACTGGTAAAATCACCTGTGTCCTATAGCACTCGATGAGATCTATCGATTGGTACCCATTACGCGATGATCCAAGTCAACATAGAGGGAGAAAGTGGTTAGTACCTATGAGAACGTGACCTCGGGACCTTTAATCCGATGAAATATTCGCTTAGGTGGTTGTGCCACTGGTGAAATCAGTTGTGTCGGATACAACTCGATGATATCTATCGATAAGCGATGATGCAAGTCAAGGTGCAGGGTCGAAGTGCTCAGTACCTATGAGAACCAGACCTCAGGACCGTTAAGTCGAGGAACTGTTCACTAATATGACTGTGAGTGTAGGCGTGGATGTGGTTGTTGGTGTGTATGTGTATGCACTGCTGGTACCGAGAGCAAACCCGGGTATCCGTACTCAAGCCCAGGCACTCCTGCCGCCCATAGCCGCATGCCACACTCTCACCCACATTGCACCCCCGTGTCTAATACTCAGTTTGAATGAATGTATGGTTCTCTTGGAAAAGTATAAGGTATGTATTTTATTCGTATGAATATAGGTTTTTTTTTAAGATTTTATTGTTAGTTTTAAGAGGGGAGAACAATTTTACATATGGAATAATGAGACTTTGAAGTAGTATTTGAGACGATGAGTTGCATAACGTCAAAATACGCAGTTGATAGACACCGAAGTCACACTCCTCGAGCCCATAGTAGGAACGAATGCCATCACAATGTGTCTCGTCAAAGATTACATATTGGTTGGTGTTGGTTTTTATTATTGCAACAAAGTGGTTACCGGTATTAGCAAGACCGGCTATGAAATCATCGCTAAAGAGAAAGTTGCATTTTTTTAGGAAATATGTGATATGCTTATATATAGCTTTCCTGGCATATAGTTGGCAACGTTTAAAGATCTGGCTAATTCTGTTGCAGGCGAGTTGTTGTTACCGACATTGAGAACGAGAAACGGTGGTGTGTTGTCGAACGTTGATTGAAATGCTGTGCGAACGGCATCGCAAATATAGCGAGTTCCGTTGAATACATATAGGTAACTTTAAAAAAAGTAACCGTTTTCGTGTGAGCCTACTTACCCTGTG